TTATTTTGTTATCTGATGGCAGAATTGGCTTGCCTCATTTAAATTGACATAGAAATAACCTTTTCTCTTGCTCTTTGAAATAATCTTTTTTTTTTTAAGAGTCCTGTAACTTGTAGTGGTGCAGTCATAGCTCACTGTAACCTCGAACACTGGGGCTCAAGTGATCCTCCTCTTCAACCTCCTGAGTAGCTAGGACTACAGGCATGCACCACCATGCCTGGCTATTAAAAATTTTTTTTGTGGCGATGGAGTCTCATGTTATTCAGGCTGGTCTTGAATTCCTGGCCTCAAGCAATCCTCTTACCTCAGCCTCCCAAAGTGCTGGGATTACAGGCGTCAGCCACTACACCTGGCCCAGTAGTGTGATTTTTGGTTGTTAGTTAAGGGATGACTTTAATGTTTCACTTAATAGTGACAAATCTTTGCTGGTGTTTTTTTCTCACCAGCAAAGTTGTGCTAATAATAGTTAATAGATTTTAGATACAGCTTTGGAGAAGTGGCCTCTTGCATTTGGATGTTCATCTACCTGTCCACAAATGATTGGATTTGTCCTGCCCTGGGAAAAACATATTTTAACATTCTTGGACATACTTATCTGTAGATAAGAGACAGAGGCCTGCTGAGATTCAAATTTATAATTTAGATAAAATTGGTTAATTTAGCAGGCTCTCAGTAGCAGAGGACACAGTATATTTATTGCTTATTCATCGAAAAGTCAGTTTTTGGCCAGATGTGGTGGCTCATGCCTGTAATCCTAGCACTCTGGGAGGCTGAGGTGGGAGGATCACTCAAGGTCTGGAGTTTGAGACCAGCCTGAGCAAGAGCGAGACCCCATCTCTACTAAAAATAGAAAAAAATTAATTGGCCAACTAAAAATATATAGAAGAAATTAGCCAGGCATGGTGGTGTATGCCTGTAATCCCAGCTACTCAGGAGGCTAAGGCAGAAGGATTGCTTGAGCCTAAGAGTTAGAGGTTGCTGTGAACTAGGCTGATGCCATGGCATTCTAGCCTGGGCAAAAGAGTGAGACTCTGTCTCAAAAAAAAAAAAGAAAGAAAGAAAAGTCAGTTTTTGAATCATTTTTCAGGGGTATCTGAAGAAGGAGGGAGGAAAATATATTGAAAATATTAGCATAGCAAATTCTAGATAGAATTGTATTTTAATATCTTTATAGCATTCTTGCTAATCCTTAATATTTATTGGTAAATCTTTTGTTTGTTTTTGAAATCATGAGAGTTTGAATTTGGATGTTCAGGAATAGGAAAGTTCTACTTGGTTAACTTGAGAAGGAAACATTTTTAGTTGTATAATTATTGTATGTTATCTTTTTATTCTGCCAATTGTCATACTATTAAAAACATGAAAGTATTTGTACTTACTTTAACTGAGCTCTTTTAAGCATACAAAGAGAAATAAATGACAGGAAACCTCACTAATAATAAAGGAATGTCTGCTTGTAGTGTGTAACAGGCATACCTGAACAGTTTTTTCAACATTTAAATAGAGTTAGCTGCTGCTTTTTTTTTTTTTGTGACAAATCTGTCACTGTGCTTGCCCGGGGCTAGAGGCCAGTGGCTGTTAGCCGTAGCCTCACAGCAACCTCAAATTCGCTGGTTCAAGCAATCCTACTGCCTCAGCTCCTGAGTACCTGGACTACAGGCATGACCACCATGCCGGCTAATTTTTTCTATATAATTTTTAGTGTTGCCAGTTAATTTCTTTCTATTTTTAGTAGAGATGGGGTCTTGCTTTTGCTCAGGCTGGTCTCAAATTCCTGACGTTGAGCGATCTACCGTGTCCGGCCTCGTCAGAGTGCTAGGATACAGGTGTGAGCCACCACCGCTGCCCTGGCTGGCTTTTTAATGAGTTCATGTGTAAAATGAATAAAACAATTCATGGTGTTTGGGTATTTACTTAATATTTTGTTTTTATTAGAAATTAACAATAATGATTACATTATTTTGTGTTAGAAAAGTATTGCTTTAATAGTCAAGACATGTGGTAACTGAGATCACTGTGATTTGTGTCGGTTGAATGACATATTGAACAAACGGGTCATAGCTTTGTATGGATGGTAGTAGTCGCGGTACCCGGGGGCGAGGGGATGAAGGGCCGCCTTCCTCACTTAGGTGAAATATATTTAGGGCTTTTAGAGAGAAATAAAACGTCAACCAAGGAGTGGGGATGTCTCATCTTTTAAGGCTAGAGAGTAGGACTATATCAACAGATTTGCTCCACCAGTGTACATGCTGTCAGGGCGAGCTCGCCTCTCAAAGAGCCAGGGAAGAGGCGTAGGTACGCTCGCTTGAGTGGCCCTGTGCTGTTTTTGTAGCAAATTGTTACTTACTATAAACTGGTGATCCAAACGGCATATTAGTAGCGTCTGAATGCAAAATCAGTATTGATATGTGTGGCCAAAATCAGACCTGACTAATTCATGTTTAGCTGACTTACTGGAGCTACTGTGTCAAATGCAAAGCGAACCTGATTTGAGGGAGGAAGTATTTTATATGTGTAGGTAGGGAGGTCTACATGAGCGCGAAAGCCTCTTGAAGTTATGTGGATTCTTTCTTAAAGCCTCATTGATGCATGGTTTAGTAAAGTTATGTGCCTCAAACCTGTGTGCATGTTTTAAAGGTATAGTATTGATGATTATTTATTGCCGTATTCATTTTGCGCTTGTGGGTTACTCAGGAGTTTCGGCCACACCTTCAGTTTTTATGTGTCAGCTAGTGTTTGACTCTGGTCTGTAGGATCGATGCGGTACGCTGATGAAAGTACATGGGAAACAGAAGCACATATTCTTAGTTAAAACAGCTAAACAAAACAGAATGTAATGAGCAGTCTACACGGATCGATTGCTTCTATGGTTGCTGCTGTAGACTAGAAAAAGGTAGGGCTGACATATGTCGTAATAGAAAGTATATTGGTGTACTCTAGAGAAGCTGTGCTGTCTTTCGCAACCGCTTATAAAACACATAAGAGTTCCAGTCTTGATCTATGGGATACTTCTTAGGACTGGCCTTGACAAATAAGTAATGGCGAATATCTGCTGACCTAGAGGGCTTTTGTTTTTTTTTTTTTTAGACAGCTCATTTGTTGCCTAGGCCTACAGAGTTCTATGCGTCTACCTACCTCACAGCAACCGCCAAACCTCCTGCCGCGCTCAACAAATCCTGCTGCACTCAGCCTCCCGAGTATCTGCACTATAGCATGCGCGACCGATGCCCGGCTAATTTGTATATACGTATAGGATTAAGTGTTGGCCAGGGATTATTTGCTTTGGGTATTTATGAGTGTGACGAGACGGGCGCGGTCACTGCCTCAGCGCTGGTGTTGTCGAAACTCGCTGAGGCCTGCGAAGCAGATCCCGCGCCCTCGGGCTCTCAGATCCGCTAGATTCTACAGCATCAGCGCAACTCTGCAGCGCCCCGCGCCCGAAGCGTGAGTGACTTTTGGGAAGCGGAATGAGTGACTGAGATGCTCTGAAGAGGAGTAACTTTTAGAATATTTGCGAGAATAAAGTGTGTCATTTCATGGTAGTTAAAAGTTTTAAAAAGTGATTCAGTCATAATCAAACCTTCCTTATATAAGCACCATGATTTTAATGTTTTTAGCATTAGTGCTATGTGCAATGCCCAGTACTAACAGTATGGGATGGTTTTCCTATAATTTTAGGACTACTTTCATTCAATACTTGGACCTGCAAACATCAAAAAAGCTATTGAAGAAGCCGAAAGACTCTCTGAAAGCCTTAAACTAAGGTATAGACATTATTATGAAATCTTTAAAAGAATATAACTTTAGAAGATAAAAATAATATTTAGAATTTATCCATCTATATCTAACCATGCATATAATATCTCAATTCCTGGAAATAAGTCTTATGATAACCGGGACACAAAAATTAAAATCTTTTGCCGTATCACATATATTATGTTCATGTGTTACTACTGATATTCTTTGTTGAAATTTAAAAAGTGGTTAGAATGATAGATTGTGAAGATAAGCACTAGTATATTAGATTAGAACTTAGGTCCAATTTTCCTAAATTACAATAGTTATAAGTTTTTGACAGTATTTTTTAGAAAAATTTAATTCTTCACATGCCCCATGTACTGTGGTACTGGATGCTGGTCTTATGAAGTATTTACTGTTAGTTTTGATTTGCCTAGTTACAGAAGTTACGTATGTTTAGAAAACATCTAATTCTGGTATTTGCCATGACTATCTTGCTAGGCTTATAAAATAGTTACAAATTCAAAGCAGTATGTTTCAGTTTTTAGTCATTAGTCATTCTTTAAATTTGCACCATTACAAATAACATAATGCTCTCATGTAGATCCTGGTAGATAAATTTCTGCCGATATCTATAGTATGAAAATTGTTGATGGGTGAATCCAAAAGCATTCCTAGTAATATGATATAAGAGGATGACAATGGAACTAGTTTAAAGTGATACAAGCTGCCAAAGCCTGGTTAGTGGACAAGGGCAAACTGAGAAATTTATGGTGCAGATAATAGGTAAAAGAGGGAAAACAGAAGATTTAACCAATCTGACATGTTTCAATACTGGCTTGAATTTTTTCACTAAGAATGTATAATTTGTTACTTGTATTTAAAAATATTCTTTTTGAAATAAAAAGTTTGAAACTTATTTTTATTTTATTTTATTTTCTGAGACAAAGTCTTGCTTTGTTGCCTGGGCTAGAGTGAGTGCCAAGGCATCAGCCTAGCTCACAGCAACTCATACTCCTGGGCTCAAGCAATCCTCCTGCCTCAGCCTCCCAGAGTACTAGGATTATAGGCATGAGTCCCTGCACTTGGCCTTAATCATACTTTTAAAAGACAAAGATAAAAATTAAAAATAAATAAAAGACAAAGATAAAAATTAAATAGTTGAGTTCAGGTAGTAGAATTATTGATGATTTTTTTCTGTTTTAAAAATGTTTTTATGTATATTTTATTTTTGCAATAAAGGGGAAAAGGAAACCTTGTGGTTGCCGAATTCTTTAGCAGGCAAATTAATTAATATGTAATGATTCGTGTATAAGTTATCTAGGTGAAAAATGTTTTTATATAACTATAACTGGTTACTGGGCATGAGGGCCTTTGACTAGAAAGTTTTTGAAAACTTGTACAGTGGAGCTTAACTGTGAGATGTATTTTATTGTACTTCTTTTAAACAAATGTGCAGTGTTCATTTGAAGAGAATTTTTTGGAGTGGATAGCATCTGAGCATTAAATACATACATATGACAATGACAAAGGCAGATGCTTCTTGAAGTGAATACAATTTTCTATAATATAGTGGTTTGACAGTTTCTCTTTAAGTAAATAACTCAATTTATAATGGAAGGCAATGAGAAAATGATTCATTACTTAGGTTCTTTTACACATTGATAGAATGTACTTTTTACACACTGATAGAATGGCCCATCTTTCAATGTAATGAGTTCCCTGTTACTGAATGACCTCTGGGGTCCTTTCTAATTTTAAGGTTTTTGAATGTACTCTGAATTTTTGCTGTGGTGTAGATTCCTTTGCAACTAAATGGGGAGAACCTTTTTGCTCTATGTTTCTCTCCCTGTATGCCCTCCCCTAATCCCCAGCCCCACATGTTTGGTGTCTTTAACTGACATTTAGAGCAGCTCTATATTAACATATCCCTATCTTCACATCTGTTTTGTGCTAATTCTCTAATAAGCCAACCGCAGAGCTCTTCTCCTGTAAGTCTCTGAAATCTGTGCCTGGTTAGGATTTCTCTCTTGTCAGGCCAGCAGTCTGAGAAAGGGCATTAGGTATGTGCTATCTAGAGTTTGGAGGATCGACTGTAACTTTAAGGTGAAAGCCTGAATACCTTAGGGTAAATTTTCTGCTAAATTTTGCCTAGCCATCTGACATCATAGTACATGTCTCACCATTCCAAGGACAAACTTAGTTCTAGATTCTAAAACAACGCTTTAGCAAAAAGACTTAATAAATGGCTAGAAAACAGATTTTAGCATCACCTGCCATTAGGGAATACTTGTCAAACATTTACTTGCTTACCCATCTCCTTTACATTCGTGTTAAGGATGGTTTTAGTTGTAATTTGGACTAAGTGCGAAGGTATCAGAATCCTAGTAAAAGGGATTAGATAGGCAGGTAAATGAAGAAAAAGTCAGTGTCAGATGGAGAGCATGCCTTGATCTCATTTCAGCTTACCAACTGAAGCTCCAAAGTAGGAGAGGCATGAGCTCTTTTAACTGGATTTACAGAGATGGTAGAAATGGAACAAATAGCAAGGGAGAGGATAAGATGTGGATAAGAGAAGAAAACAAGAAGAAAGGAATCTTAAAGTTTCTTCATTTCTGTCCTTAAATTGGATTCAGGCTTACTGTGCTTACTTCTTAGGGCACACAGTTCACATACTGTTCCAGCATAGAACACTACTAGAGAAGCGATATAGAGCAGTGGGTAAGTGTGCGGAGCCAGACTCCCTGGGTTTGGATCCTAGTTTTTCCCTTACTAATTGTGTGATCTTGGGCAAATTACTTAGCCTCCCTCTGCCTCAGTTTCCTCGTCTGTAACTGGAATGATAATAAAACCTACCTCATGGTGCATTAAGCAAATTAACACATGTACAAACACTTAGATGGTGCTTAGCATGTAGTAAATACTTTATAAGTATTTGCATTTACTACTGTTGTTGTTGTTAACAGTGTTGTTAACAGCATTGTTCTGCAACACCTTTCTCCCTGGCACTCTAGTGATTTGCTATGTAGGGGCTAGGTAAAGCAATTGCATAATTTTGCTACTGTTCCACATCTTTCATTTCTGTTTTGTAACAGTGAAATAGATGCTGGCATGTGAGGGGAAAATCTGGAGTTGATGTTTCCATAGAGATAACAGATAGTGATACATGCTTGCTATTCTTTCACCAAGTTCCTACACAGTTCTGTAGAGAAATAGGGGAAATGAATATACTAGTAAGCAAGGTCCTATTAGAGATTTGAGAATCTGTTTATCACTGGATACTGCCAAAGTAGGTATAATGTGGTGAAACATCTGTTTTTATAAAGTTCTATATGAAGTCATTCACTTACATCTCCATTTATTTTATGTTAACATACTGATTTTCTTAAATCTAAGAGCTATATTGTTTCCCCAGTAGAGCTTTATAATTTATTATGAAATATTTTCCAATTTCCTTTTCTATCTTGACCCATGGATCATTTAGAATTGTGAGCCTGGGCAGCATAGTGAGACCCCATCTTTATAAAAAATTAGAAAATTAGCTGGGCATGGTGGTGTATGCCTGTAGTCCCACCTACTCAGGAGGCTAACGTGGGAGGATCCCAGGAATTCAAAGTTGCAGTGAGCTATGATTGGGCCACTGAACTCTAGCTGGGGCAACAGAGGAAGATCCCATCTCCAAAAAAAATTAAATTAAAAATTGGAATTGTATTGTTTAATTTTCAAATATGTGGGATTTTTCTAGTATCTTACTGATTTCTAATTCAGTATTATGGCTAGAGATGTTTAGTCCTTTTACATGTACTAATTCTTGTTTTATGGCTTGGCATATGATCTGTCTTGGTGAATGTACGATGAGTAACTGAAAAGAAAGTATAGTTGTTGAGTATAGTGTTCTCTATGCGTTATTTAGGTCAAAGTGGTTGACAATGTTATTCAGTTCTTCTCTGTCTTTATTGATTTTGGGGCAGGCGTTAAATTGTAACAATTACTAAGAGAGGGATGTTAAAGTATTTAATTCTATTTGTCTATTTCTCCCTTTAATTTTTTCAACTTTTGTTTCATGTATTTTGAAATTCAGTTTTTAGCCATATAAATATTTATGGATGGTTATAGATTTTTTTTGTTTTTTTGAAACAGAGTCTTACTATGTTGCCTGGGCTAGAGTGCTGTGGTGTCAGCTTAGCTCACAGCAACCTCAAACTCCTGGGCTCAAGTGATCCTCCTGCCTCAACCTCCCGAGTAGCTGGGACTATAGGCATGTACCACCATTCCTGGCCAATTTTTTCTATATATTTTTAGTTGGCAATTAATTTCTTTCTATTTTTAGTGAGGATGGGGTCTTACTCTTGCTCAGGCTGGTTTCCAACTCCTGACCTTGAGCGATCCTCCTGCCTTGGCCTCCCAGAGTGCTAGGATTACAAGCATGAGCCACTGCGCCCGGCTGGTTATAGATTTTTGATGAATTAACCTTTTTATCATTATGTCCCTCTTTACCTCTGGTTTCGAACTCCTGACTTTAAGCAATCCGCCTGCCTCAGGCTCCCAGATTGCTAGGATTACAGGGGTGAGCCACCTCACCCAGCTGACTGACCTCTGGGAATATTTATATTCTAAAGGTCTATTTCAAGGCTACTCTAGACGTCTTATGCTTACTGTTTGCATCTTTTTTTATCTACTTTCAGCCTGTCTCTATCTGTAGGTAAAGTGTGTCTCATGTAGATATCATGAAATTGGATCTTACTCTTTCATCCATTCTGACAATCTCTGCTTCATTATTAGTGTGTTTCATCTATTCACATTTAATGTAACTATTAATATGGTTGGACTTAGGTCTGTCATTTTGCTATTTGCTTTCTTTTGTGTCATCTCCTCTGAATTTTTAAGAAGTAGATTCTCTAGGGATTTCTGTCTCCTCTGTGTGTATACATGGATTATGTATGTGTGTGTATAATATATATCCTTAACTATTAAGATTATATCTCCTCATATAAAACAAAAACCTTACAACCATATAATTCTATTTACCACCCTTTATGCTTTATGCATTTGGTGTCACATATATTACATCTGCATACATTAGAACCTTCCCCCAATACAGGGTTATAATTTTTTGCTTTAAACAGATATATGTGTTTTAAAGAAATTGAAAGGAAAAAAAAAAATAGTCTTTTATAGTCACCCTTATATTTACCATTTCTGGCACTCTTCATTTCTTCTTGAAGATACAGGTTTTCATCTAGAACTGAAGAACTTCCTTTAGCATTTCTGGTGGGAGGTCTTTGGGGAACAAATTTTTGGTATTCATCCAAAAATTCTTTATTTTATCTTCATTATTCTTATAGGATATTTTCGCTAGATACAGGATTCTGGGGTGAGGGTTTTTTTTTTTTCCTTTCAGCACTTTTAAAGATAGTATTCCATTGTCTTCTGGCCTCCATTGTTTCTAATATTTCTGATGTGGAAATTCATATAAGTCATTCATATCATTGACACCTTGTATGTACTATGTCATTTTTCTTTGACTCAAAATTGTATTTTAATCTTTGGTTTGACTGTTGGCTAGGGATGGTTTGCTTTGTATTTTTCTTGTTTGGGATACTTTCAGAATTAGCTGGGTTCCTTAGTGTCTGCCCCATGTGTGCTTAATTCAGGTATCAGCTAGTGATTTGGGCAAGTTTATGCAAAGAATTTGGAACTCTGCCTCTGTGCAGTTAGGGTTTTTATTAGAATTTTTAGCTGCTTCCAGCACCAAAGCCTGCCTAAGGTGTAAAACCAATAAAAAGGGGGAAACTTACTAGATGCCCTTCCTTTCTCCCAGTTGTCAACCTCCATCCATTTTTTGCCTGATTGTGGTTGCTTTCAGGTAGTTATATGTCATCCAGAGTTTATAGTTGTCTGTGAGAGGTTCAGCACAATAGAAATTACTAAGGCATTACCAAAATTAGAACCCCCTCCCCATCTTTATTTTTTAAGGAGAAAGAATAGCATTTTCAAAATTGTGTGTGATAATTATAATCATCATGTTCCTATCAATCATAGCAATCATTTCAAGCAATTGAATAAATAATTCAGAAGGAATTGCTAAGCATAAGGATAGAAATTAACTGCTTAAGTATTTAGAGGAGAAACATTGTTTTCCTTGTATTGCTTCCACTTGGGGAGTAGCTCAGCTTTGAGTGACATGCTAACTTTCTTTTCCAAGAGCCACAAATATAATTTCTTGTTAAGTGGATGCTTACCAAGTTAGAATTATCTTATGGCATTTTGAGTCTAGAAGTCATTCTTAAATTAGGCTTAAAATTTTAATATGTGAAACTGGCACAATTCTTTGAGTTGTCACTGTTTCCATCTTATTTGTTCATTCAGAAATTTTTTATTGTGGAATTTTCATTCAAAAGAGTCTATAAAATAAAAAGATATAACAAAGAATAATGAAATGAAAATTATTCATTTTTTACTAATTATTGACCTTAATCAATTATTCATTTTCCCCCTCCCTCATCTTCTCTCTCTCTTTTAGTTGAAACTCACAGGCAATGAGTTGCCTGTGATACTTAGTGCAAACAAGGTTGCAGGTCCTTGATAACATATGTTCTCTCCTGGAAATAATAGTAAACATTGCATGTAATTTAATAAGGAATAGTTCTAAATTCCTTGGATGTCTGCTAACTATAGTTAGCATAGCTGTTTAACTTCCAATAAATTGGAAATTTCAGTGAAGTCATCATTTTAGAAAAAAGTAACCTGGTGACCTAAGTTATATCATCCTCCCACCCCCAAGTGCTTTTTCAAGCTCCCCAAATACCTTTTTCAATGCTCACTTTAACATTTTTAACTCTAAATCATAAACACAAGTGTGACATTTAGGTATTTTTGCAGAGAGAATTAGGAACTTACAAGTCCTTTAAAAAGGAAATTGCAGAAGATTTAAATCATTAAAAGGTTGAAATCAGTGGGAAAGACAGATCATTAAATAACTGCAACTTGAGAACATATAGTTTCTTTTCAAAATTTTTGGGAAGTTTGAAGTAAATCTACAGATGGCTTCAGAGGGCAAATGTATGAGTTGTAGTTTGTAATGGAGCACTAGCAGAGTTAGATTTCAGTTGGAAGGAGAAAGTATGTAGTCAAAGCAGGATACTAATTTTACTTTCCACAATTATGCCAGTAAAAGACATCCTGACTTCTTTGTTTCATCTAGATATGAAGAAGCTGAAGTTCGGAAGAAACTTGAGGAAAAGGACAGACAGGAGGAAGAGCAGCTCCAACAACAGAAAAGGCAGGAAACAGGAAGAGAGGATGGTGGCACTTCGGCTAAAGGTTCTTTAGAGAATGTATTGGATTCCAAAGACAAAACCCAAAAGGTATTTCAAATTTATTGTGTGAGTTGAAAGACTGGTTCTGTTTGTCTGATGATTTGCTTAAAAAGAGTTGAGATGTGAAGTTCTTTAAAGGGTAAAATTTAATGTGTTTTAATTAGAAATTGAATTAAATGTTCTAGCTTTAGTTGATCCTAGGTTTTTCTGCGAGTTTCCAGAGCAATATGTTCCTTTTTTTTTTTTTTTTGAGACAGTGTCTCATTCCATTGCCCTGAATAGAGTGCTGTCACATCAGCCTACCTCACAGCAACCTCAAACTCCTGGGCCCAAGCCATCCTCTTGCCTCAGCCTCTGAAGTAGCTGGGTCTACAGGCACACACTATGCTGCCCAGCTAATTTTTCTATTTTTAGTAGAGATGGGGTCTTGCTCTTGCTCAGGCTGGTCTTGAACTCCAGAGCTCAAGCAATCCTCCTGCCTCGGCCTGCCAGAGTGCTAGGATTACACAGAGCAATATGTTTTGTACATGAATTATTTTTTAAGTAGTCCCTATAAACTTAATTAGAGCAGTAGAAAGAACGTTTGAGCTGTGATTCAATACATCTGAGTTCTGGTCCTACTCCCTAACTCAGTTTCCTCATTTGCCAAATGAAAGTCTTGAATTAGATACTCTTAAGGCTTTCTTATTTCTAATAATGTTATTTACATTAAAAGAAAGATTTGGTGTGCTACTTTATTTGGCTTTTATGTGTTTCTGAGATCTCATTCTGTTTCCTTTGCTTCTTCCTCCCTCCCCCCATTTGCCCTTCCTTTTTCTCTCCCTCTCTTTCAGTTCTGTTCAGCTTTCACTCTTTTCAGCTGAATCATCTGTTTTCCAAAAGCTATCAGTCTCAGTGCCTCAGTCTTTACCTGCCAGCTGTCACTGTATCTCCCTTCCTTCACCTACTGAGAAACTATTCTTCCTAAAATTTAATTTCTTCTGTGCTGCTGAAATCCATGGAAAGATTTCTGCTTTGATTTTTTTCTTTTTTCTTTTTTTTTTTTTTATGGAACATCACAGAACTGAATGATTTTTTTCTTAAGCATTTTGTAGCTTTCACCTATCATTTGTGTGGATCATCTGTTTCATTAAGAAGTAGCTGTTGAATTTTTATGACATTGGGCTAGGCACTACATAAAAAGTGAAGACATTTGGTCTTAATTTTAGGAACTCATATTATAAGATAAATAATACTGCCTTAGGGAGATGTTCATTTATAGAACAAATGGCTGCAATAAAAAAAATAAGACTTGAAAGAACTGTATGAAGGGAATTTTTAATCTCTTCATTTTATTGCCTTTCTAATAGGGCCAACCACTTTTTGTTACTTTTATTTTTGTGTAGCCTTTTTATTTTGAAAAGAGAATATAATTAACCCCTGTCACCAGCTTCAATAATCAGTTAACAATTTGACTTATTTCTTTGACTTATTTCTTTTATCTGTTTCCTTCTCCTTTTCTTTTGTTGGAGTATTTCAAAGCAAATTCCACCTTATGTACCATTTTACTCCTAAATATGTCAGTATACATCTCAAAAAGTCATTTTCCTAAAAACAACAATGTTATTTTCCCATCTCACAAAATTAACAATAATTCCTTTAGATAACCTGAATTCAGATTTTTCCACTTAAAATGATTTTTTAGAGTTGATTTGTTTGACTCAGGATCCAAACAAGTTAGACTCAGTGTCTTTTGATTGCTATGTCCCTAAAGTCTCTAAAATAATCTCTGCTTGAATATTTCCTCTCATTTTTTGTTTAATGCATTTGATTTTCTTATGCTAGAAAATGAGCCACATTCTGTATTTATCCAATTGCTTCCCTCTTTTTGTCATTTTACTTGTTTTTCTATTTCTCATATTTTCTGAAGGCTGAAATTTTGACCTAAAAGCTTAATTAGATTCAGATTCCATTTTTGATTTTTGGCAAGAATGCTTCTTCATAAATGATACTGTGTACTTCATATTGTATCATATACACATAATGTATTTCTTTTCTTTTTTCATTTTTGGTGATGCTAAAATTGATTAATAGGTTCAAGTGGTTCCTTGGTTTTCCCATCTATAAAATGAGTTAATACCTTACAGCAGCCTTCCCCAACCTTTTTGGCACCAGGGACCCATTTCATGGAAAACAATTTTTTCCATGGACAGGGGTCAGCGGGGGAAGTGCTCAGGTGATGATGCCAGCCATTGGGTATGGCTGTAAATACAGATGAAGCCTCTGCTAGCCCTCCTGCTGTGCCATCAGGGCACAGACCTGTACTGGTCCAGGGCCAGGGGTTGGAGACCACAGAACAGGATCATCCCATACTGTCTTGGTTAGAAAATGTAAGCTACGTAAGTAGCATTTTGTATTACTTCATATTCCTTTAGTTATGTAATGGAGGACACTGAATGGGATAGTCAGAATTTTTGTTTCATTTTAAGAAGTACTTTCTAGCCGGGCGTGGTGGCTCATGCCTGTAATCCTAGCTCTCTGGGAGGCTGAGCGGGCGGATTGTCGAGGCACAGAAGTTCCGAAACCAGCCCTTGAGCAAGAGGAGACCCTCTCGTCCTATAAATAGAAAGAAATTAATTGGCCAGCTAATATATATACGGAAAATAATTAGCCGGGCATGGTGGCCCATGCCTTAGCCAGCTTACTTTGGGGGCTGGGCAGAAGGATGCCTTGAGCCCAGGAAGTTTGGGGGGAGGTGTGAGCTAGGCTGCGCCAGGGCACTCAACCTAAACTGGCAACAAAGCAAGATTCTTGTCGAAAAAAAAAAAAAGTACCTTTCTACAGCCAAACGGCTCACGTATACTTTAGCACTCCTGGCGAGCGTAGAGGGCACCACATCGCCTGACGTGCGCTTCGAGCACGTGACGCAACCATCTACTACAAAAATAACATATGCATAAATACTGACGAAAAAATTAGCGGTGGCCGTGAGCATGCTGTCAACACTCCACTCACACGCCGAGGGCTGAGCAGAAAGATCCGCTTTAGCCAAGATGTTCCTGCTCGCCAGCCTAGAGACGCGGCACCGGCACTCATAGCGGGCGGGCGACAGAGAGAAAACGACTCTGTCCTCCAAAAAAAAAAAAGTATTTTGTAATTAAATTAAATTTCTGTGTAGTTTGTGCTTCTAAATGATATTTGACCTTTAATTGAAGAAAATTTTGAGGAAATGCCCTTTGATTCTGATATGTTGCCTATTATTTAGCCTCGTTTCCCTACTTGCCCAAAGTAAACCTGATAATGCCATTATTATTCATCTAATTTTATAGAATGCCTGCATACCTCATGTCTTAGGGTTTCCATTTTAATGAAGTATTAAAGTTAAACTTTTGGTTTCTATCAAAATTAAAATTTTTTTTCCTGTGCAATAGATCGATGGTGAAAAGACTGAAAAAAATGAGACCAAAGAGAAAGGTAAGTGTGTGCAGAATGAGGAAGTTCTTTTAGGTTCTTATTGAGATCTTTTAATCAAACCACAAACTTCTGACTTTTATATGCATCCCCCTTTTCCATGCCACGAGTCGCCGGTCCGCACTCCAGCACAACACTCTCGCCTCACGATTCCTTCCTCAGGCTCAACGTACGGATGGCATCCGAGCCACCATGCCCGCCTAATTTTTTTGCTATATATACTTCTCGCCAACCTCAGTTTTTCTATCTACACCGGCACCGGCCTCTCGCTTTGCCTCGCGTTCGCACACCGCGCGCACACGCACACGGCCTCGGCCTCCCAGACAGCTAGGATTACAGGCGTGAGCCACCGCGCCTGGCCTATATGATGAGATTCTTAGCATTGTTGTCTAATCCTTATGTAAGCTTTGTTATTTTTCATAGCCTATATAATTATATTGAGAATGTCTTAGGTTCTTTATCATGGGGAATATTTTATAAATAATGATAGCCTGAGATGATAAAATATGGTAATATGCAGTTGAAAATGTTAAAACCACAGCTTGTACTTGTTTTCTTTTCAAGATAGAGTTTAGCAATAATGGTTAAGAATACGGACTTTTAGAAGTCAGACTGCCTGGGCTTTTGAATACTGGCTCCTCCTCTGAATTTCCATGTGATCTTGAGCATATTACTTAAACTCTCTACTTTAGTTTCTGTGTGTAAAGTGGATATAATACTATAATAGTACCTAATTCATAGAATTATTGTGAGGATTGAATGAGTTAATAATATGTAAAACTCTTAGAACACATGGTAAACATTAACTAACTATTATCATTTATGACCCTAGGCTGTAAACTTAATTATTTAAGAGGCCTCTTGCCCTCCAGAAAAAAAAAATCCAAATTAGTAATTTGGAAGTTATCCATAGGTGGCGTTGATGTTCTAGTCACAAATACGTGACCTAAACAACAAGACTTAGGAAATTGCCTTCATCTACTAGAGAAGTTTTTCCTGTCTCAGAAAAGATTAATTTATACATAATTATATGTAACACTAAAATAAATTCTCGACTTAAGATACTGCCATACAACAATTTTAAAAATAAACTGAATACTATAAGGTACCTTCCTAAAACCTGTTATCAGTTCATTCCAAAATTAGTTTTTATCCATTTGTTCCTTTATATCTCATCATGCCTACATGTTATCCTTTTCAGTAGTTTGTTCTCAACTTGTTTAGTCTGTTTTGTTGTCAAAATGATCTTGATGGTCAGAGAGGGAAGTAGGATGGTTGTTAGAAGCTGTAAGTATTTTATCCTAGGAGCTAGAGACTACCTTCTTTTCACAGCTCACTACTGAAATAGTTCTTTATATATCTAAACTCTTATAGTGTCTTTTAATCTTTCACTTCAGGCTGTACAGCTGAGGAAAAATAGCAACATAGGAAATATTTATTTTGGAAGATTGTATCCCCTCCAAAAAAATAAATTAAAAATTACATTAGCTTTACTTAGTTTTCTTTTTATTAGCCTTCTTAAAAAATAAAATAGCCTGTTTTCTTTGTGGCTTGGAGCTAACAAATGAATGTCAAGTAGAATGAGGATTGGCAAAGTTTTTCTTAAAGGGGTGGATAGTAAATATTTTAGGCTTAGGGTGCCCTGTGGTCTTGGAAGCAACTATTGGACTTTGCTGCTGCAACATGAAAGCAACCACAGATGATATGTAAACAGGGGAGTGTGGCTGTGTCCCAGTAGAAACAGGTCACAGTTTGTCAACCCCTGATGTGGAACATAAAATAACAAGCTTTTGGCTTGTTACTCTAGGAATACTTGGAAATGAAAAAGTTTTTCAAATAGCTTCCAGAAGCCCCCATCAAAGACTTTTAAAAGAGAATTTAGAACCTTTTGAGAATTTGTGAACCATAATGTTTCTTCCAGTTAACATTTTTCTGATGTCTTAATTTAAAAAAACAGAAAACAGACTATTCACATAACATACACATATTGATTTCCTTTATTTTATACCAGCAACAGAGCCAACACCAGATAGAGTTGTAACCTCAACAGCAAAGTTTGATATTTAAGTCTTTATTTTATTTATTTATTTACTTACTTACTTACTTTGAGACATGGTCTTGCTCTGTCACCCAGGCCGAAGTGCAGTGGTGGGATTATAGCTCACTGCAGCCTTGAACTCCTGGGCTCAAGCCGCGTCAGCCATCCGAGTAGCTGGGACTACAGGCGTGTGTCACCATGCCTGGCTAAGTTTTTCTCTATATTTTTAGTTGTCCAGCTAATTTCTTTCTAATTTTTTTTAGTAGAGACGGGGGTCTCACTCTTGCTCAGGCTGGTTTCGAACTCCTGACCTTGACCTCCCAGAGTGTTAGGATTACAGGCGTGAGCCACCACACGCAGCCTAAAATTTTTTTTGTAGAAACAGAGTTCCCCTATGTTGCCCATGCTTGTCTCAAACTCCTGGCCTCAAGTGATCCTCCCGCCTGGGTCTCCCAAAGTGCTGGGATTACACCACACTGGCCCCCAATATTTTAGTCTTTCTAAACAGAACACAACTGGTTTCTTGATAAATGTTTAAAAAACAAATTATATTTAATATTAGTTTAAAAGATAAATTGTATGATGGAATAGCAGATATATGACACTCAGTGTACTTTGCTCTTTTAGAAAAAGCTATGTTTATTCTGTGTTTAGTGATATGTCAGCACATGCAACTTGGTGTTTCTTGTCACTTATACTCTCTCTCTCAATTCCAAGGAGCAATCACAGCAAAGCAACTATACACAATGATGATGGATAAAAACGTCAGCTTGATTATAATGGATGCTCGAAGAATGAAGGATTATCAGGATTCCTGTATCTTACAATCTCTCAGTGTTCCTGAAGAAGCCATCAGTCCAGGGTAGGTCATTGTGTATTAAGATAAAACAGTCAACTGTGGACCCTCATAAATGTTGATATTTAGCAGCCAAGCTAATTTTGATAAAGTAGTATTCTCTTTTCCTATTGACCATTTTATTCTTTGCTTCTGAAAGACCCACCTTACCCTTTTTGAAGGATAAAGTCAGGTACATTGCAGTTCCTCTTATCTGTGGCATTTGGAATCTTATTAAAAGAGAAATGAAGCAGCCTTTGTGTGCTGTCTTTCCCCAGGTGTTTGTTGACTGAGTTCTTTCATTTTCTGTTTATAAGCTTGTGAATCAGATGTACCAAATCACTAAAATCATGAACTAGTTGAATTATTTTACACATCAAAATTCCCCATGCTATTATCTGTGGTAAAAGAGTATACAGATACTTTTTTAAACAGAAGAGTGTAGCCGGGCGCGGTGGCTCACGCCTGTAATCCTAGCTCTCTGGGAGGCCGAGGCGGGCGGATTGCTCGAGGTCAGGAGTTCGAAACCAGCCTGAGCAAGAGCGAGACCTCGTCTCTACTATAAATACAAAGAAATTAATTGGCCAACTAATATATATACAAAAAATTAGCCGGGCATGGTGGCGAATGCCTGTAGTCCCAGCTACTTGGGAGGCTGAGGCAAGAGGATTGCTTGAGCCAGGAGTTTGAGGTTGCTGTGAGCTAGGCTGATGCCACGGCACTCACTCTAGCCTGGGCAACAAAGCGAGACTCTGTCTCAAAAAAAAAAAAAAAAAAGAAGAGTGTAGTTAAGTGCTTAAGAAAAAGTATAGGTTCTGAAATTAGACTGTTTTCAAATAACTCTGTCACTTATTAGCTGCATTATTTCTAGCTAGTGACTTCATTCTCTAAGCCCATGTTTCCATCCATAATATAATAGTACCTATCTCATAGAGGTTTCAGGTTTTTTTATTTATTTATTTATTTATTTATTTTTTTTTTTTGAGGCAGAGTTTCACTTTGTTGCCCAGGCTAGAGCGAGTGCCGTGGCATCAGCCTAGCTCACAGAAACCTCAATCAAACTCCTGGGCTCAAGCAATCCTTCTGCCTCAGCCTCCCAAGTAGCTGGGACTACAGGCATGTGCCACCATGCCTAGCTAATTTTTTCTATATATATATTAGTTGGCCAATTAATTTCTTTCTATTTATAGTAGAGACTGGGTCTCGCTGTTGCTCAGGCTGGTTTCGAACTCTTGACCTCAAGCAATCTGCCTGCCTCGGCCTCCCAGAGTGCTAGGATTACAGGCGTGAGCCACCGTGCCTGGCCTCAGGAGGTTTTAAATGAGAATTGTTATACACACATACTTTACCAAAAGGCCTGGCACTAGTAAGGACTTAAAAAAAAGGTTTTCTTTCTTTTTGCGTAAGAAGGCTTTTAACTTATAAAGCAATTTAAATTTACTTGCATGAGTATTTTGTACATTAGAAATCATCCTGACGTAGTGGCAGAGCTAAACCTCCAGATCTAGGGCTATTTTCACTATTTTTATATAAACCATATAACTTCTCTGAGTCTTAGTTTATGGAATTGGGATTAGTTAAAATCTATGGTCCATTCTAGGGCTAACTTAAATACTTTTAAAAGAGAGAGAGAGTGTGTGTGTATATAAAAAAATTTTTGTTTGGGAGATTAGAGACAGGGTCTTTGCTGGGGCTAGAGTGTGGTGGCATAATTATAGCTCACTGTAACCTCAAATTCCTGGCCTGTAGTGATCCTCCTGCCTTAGCCTCCCAAGTTGCTGGACTATAGGCTCACACTGCCATGTCTGGCTAATTTTTCTATTTTTTTGTAGAGACTAAGTCTTGCTGTGTTGTTCAGGCTGGTCTGGAATTCCTGGCCTCCAGTGTTTCTTCCATCTTGGCTTCCCAAAGTGCTGGGATTACAGGCATGAGCCATCATGCCCAGACTAAAGTATATACTTTTAAAATTAGGTAATAAAATCTACATAGTTCTTGGTATATTGCAGATGCTCGATAAATGTTTGAAGACTAGAGTGCTTTGTAAATATGCTGTTTAAAAATTAGAGTGCTTCATATCTGAAGCAGATATGAATATATTTTCAGCATTTGAAAAGACAAAATTATGCTAGTTTTTGGATGGTCTATGTACTAAGAGAAAGCTTGTGGTCTTTATTGCGTTTACATTGGGGTTTCCCAAAATGTGAGATTTGGACAACTGTGAAACTTCTGGTGATTTTAGGTTGAAGATTAAAGAATATTGAATTGCATGCTGAGAAAATTATTCCCTTTTGAGTTAGTTAAAAAGAGGTTTAGTTTGGTGCCAGTAAAGCATTTTAATATCTACTAATCTCTCTTTCTTAACTAAAAAGAGCAGCTCTCAGAGCTTTCTGTAAGCAGTAGTATCTATAGCTAGTTGATAGTGTTTACTGTATTTTTTATTGTCTATTTAAAAATTTTAAATGTTATAGGGCATATACAGAAATATTTCTATCCTAAGTGTTTAGTCCAGTGAGTTTTCATAAACTGAGGGCACTGACTCAACTAACATTGAGACCAAGAAGCAGAACATTATCATTACTCCAGAATCCCTGATATGCCCTCTGTAAGTTACTACCCATATCCCCATCCACCCAAGGAAACCACCAACTTCTAACAATATATTTTTTTCGTGTACTTATATAATTAAAGCATACAATATGTAGTCTTTTTTATCTGGCTTTTGTACTCATCCTGTTTGTGAGAGTCATCTCCATTATTGTGTGTAGTTGCAATTTGTTTATTCTTATTGCTATATGGTGTTCTGTTGTGTATAGCAGAATTTATTTATTTTATTTTTATTTTTTTTTAATTTTTTAAATTTATTTTTAGACTTACCTTTTATTTATTAGATTGGATGCTGTTTCTCCATGTATATAGGGATATACAATTTCCTATTAAATTTATTTAAGTAAAAAATTATAAATGCATTAATAATTAAATTTAAATGTTATATAATACGGCAGGTAGAGCAAAGTTAGAGCAAATTGTGAAGATGATACACGAAAGACTGACGTTTGGGAAACACTGGTTGATAACCAGTGTTTCCCAAAGTGTTTACTGTAGAATACTAACCAAGAACAATATTTAGGCAAATATATTCCTAGAGTTGGAAATGGTCCTTCAGAATGTCACATTTCATTTTTTCTCATTCTTTGTTGACTAAGCATTTTCTGATCATTATCTACCAGGAGAGGATATTATGAGACAATATTTTATATTTCTTCTCTTTTCTTCCTAGATGATACAGTAACCAACATTATTTATTTATTTATTTATTTTGAGACAGAGTCTCACTTTGTTGCCCAGGCTAGAGTGAGTGCCGTGGCATCAGCCTAGCTCACAGCAACCTCAAACTCCTGGGCTCAAGCAATCCTCCTGCCTCAGCCTCCCAAGTAGCTGGGACTATAGGCATGCGCCACCATGCCCAGCTAATTTTTTTGTGTATATATATATTAGTTATATATAAAAATTATATATAATATTATATATTATATAAAATATATATTATATAAAAATATATATTTTATGTGTATATATATATTAGTTGGCCAATTAATTTATTTCTATTTATAGTAGAGACGGGGTCTCGCTCTTGCTCAGGCTGGTTTCGAACTCCTGACCTCGAGCAATCCTTCTGCCTCGGCCTCCCAGAGTGCTAGGATTACAGGCGTGAGCCACCGCGCCCGGCCAGTAACCAACATTATTATATAGAATTTCTTAGAAAGTTTTTAAATAATCCAAACCATTTAGTTTTACTTGTGACTAAAAGTTTTACTAAAAGTCCTGCCCAGCTTGCCAGTTGAATATTGAAATTCCTACTATATACGAAGGGCTTGGCAAGGAATAATATGGAACTCCTTACCTATAGGAGCGAATCTGTGTTATTCATTCATTCAACAAACATTTTCTGAGCACTTACTATGGGCTGGGTTTCTGTGGTTCTAAGTGTTGAGGTTAAGCTATTGAACAGACAAAAATTGCCTTGGTGGAGCTTTTATATTAACAGGGAGGTGGTATAGGAAAGACCAGACAGTAAAACTTAAAATGCATATCATGTCTGATGTTGGTGAGTGCTGTGAGGTGGGACTGTCAAGTATGTGTGTGTTTGGGATAGTCTTAAAACTTTAATCCAGAAAGGTCTCATAGAGAAGTTACTAGCAATAGTATCCCTTGAAGGGATAAGGGAAATGAATGATGCAGATATCTGGGGGAAGAGGGTTCCAGACAGAGGCCCTTAGGGGAAAGCATATCTGCTTGAACCAGGAATAACAAGGGAGGCAATAACTAGAGTGAATGAGTAAAAGGGGCAAGTAGTTGGAGATTGGGGCATTGAGATAATAGCATTGGGAGTATACCATGTTTCTCCGAAAATAAGACCTACCCACAAAATAAGCCTAGCAGGATTTCTAAGACTTTGCGCAATATAAGCCCTACCCCGAAAATAAGACCTAGTGATGGGTGTGACTACACAGCGTATCTGCACAACCCATGCGTTTCGTCACGGAGTGGTAAAGAAGACGAGCAGCCCTTCTCATCTGCCTCATCGTGACAGCTACTATCCCAGAGGTGACTAGCAAGGTGTGGGCAGCCCCACCAACAAGGTCAGCTCCCACTGTCAGGTCCCGGCCATCCTGTGTGTGCTGCAAGCTGAGGCTTTGAGGGGAAAATAACACATCCCCTGAAAATAAGCCCTAGGGTGTCTTCTTGAGGAAAACTATATAAGATACTGTCTTATTTTCGGGGAAACATGGTATATACGTGTGTGGCAGGCCATTATAAGGAATTTAGCTTTATTTTTATTTTTTGAGACATTGAGACAGGGTCTTGCTCTGTTGCCCAGGCTAGAGTGCAATGGTGCAGTCATAGCTCACAGCAACTTCAAACTCCTGGGCTCAAGTGATCCTTCTGGCTCAGCTTCCTGAATAGACTTTAGTTTTTATGTGAGCAAAAGATGATGTGAACAGCGTGTTTTAATGTGGAGTTGATATTTGTAGTTGATGATATAAGGGGCAGCGTAGCAAAGTAACTATGAGCTAGATTGCTTGAGCTTTAATTCTGGCTCTACTTATCAGCTGTAACCTTGGGCAAGTTACTTAACTTCCTTGTGCCTCAGTTTCCTCATGTATAAAATGAGGGTAATAATAATGTCTAACTTACTGGCTTATAGTGAGGATTCAATGGGAGTAAAGCATTTAGAACAGTATCTGGCACATAGTAAATGCTGTGTTTGTTAAATAAACATTTTGGTATTTGGTTAACTCTTTATCTGTGTAAGTATAAGAGAACTGAAATACGAATAATGTTACCTCGATGATACCCCAGTTTATATTTGGCGGAGAGAGATGTTCAGACGACTTCCTCTGTTTTCAGTTGGGGTCATTTTAAATTGTTTTTTAATTTTTACTTTTTTTATAGAGACAAAGTCTCTATATTGCCTAGACTGGCCTCAAACTCCTGAGCTCAATAGATCCTCCCTCCTCAGCCTCCCAAGTAGCTGGGATTACCGGCACATGCTACCACACCCAATGGCTGTTTTTTAAAAAAAGGATCAGAATTGAGTCTACTTCTTTTAGTCTAATAATTACTAAAATCATATTCCAACATTATGCAAGAGTGAAGGGGTTAAACATTTTAGGCTGTTTAACATCTTCATATGCTGTCCGACCTTAGAAAGGAATCTACTTGAAGTTTGTAATGATGTGGTACAGACTGTAGAACAAAACCCAGTGTCTTATGTTAGTATATTGGGACCTCTCATCGACTTTTGCCCCAATACAAATGTTAATACATTTCAGAGTCACTGCTAGTTGGATTGAAGCAAACCTCCCAGATGATTCTAAAGTCACATGGAAGAAGAGGGGGAATGTGGATTATGTGGTACTTCTTGACTGGTTTAGTTCTGTCAAAGATTTACAGCTTGGAACAACTCTACGGAGTCTGAAAGATGCACTTTTCAAGGTTAGCAAGTTTCCTCGTTTACTGTAATTGCAAGTCTTCTCTGGTTATTAGAAAGGCACGTTGACTGGTTTATCTTGAGTACTAAAAGAGCCTTCATGCTTTGATTGTAGAATTTTTTTAAAATTCAGTTTTAAAAGATTGTTTTGATGGGCTTTCCTTGAAGTCTTTCCAAAAAAAGAAAAGAGAATAGAGAAAAATAATGTAAAAAGAAAAAAGGGGAAAAAAAGATTGTTTTGAATCATCAGATAATAACTGATGTATATAAAATATATTAGATTTTCAGAAATATAAATTATCTGTAAAATGTTACTTTTTGTTTTAAAAGTTAGATTATAAAACAAAAGCAGAGGAAGAAATCAAGGAAAAAGGTAGATAGATTTTACTTCATAAAATAAAAACTTAGGTATGAAAAAACATCATAAGATTTGAAGGCAGAAGGCAAACAAGAAATATTTGCAACAAATATGGCAGTGGTTTAAAACACCTAAAATCTGAAGAGCTTTTACAAATAAGAACAATATGTAAAGTAAGATAAAGTAGTAAAATAAGTAGTGGAGACCAACAAACATGAACAGAAGATGAAATCCAAGTGGGCATAACCATAAAATTGGTCAGCTTTACTGGTTTCAGATAAAGCAGATTAAAACATTGAGTGCTATTTTCGCTGATCAAATTAATAAAGATTTAAAAATAATACGTTCATCCGTCAGTATCTGTGTGGGATTGGTGCTAGGACCCCCCCAGATACCAAAATTCAGGGTTGCCCAAGTCCCTAATATAAAATATTGTAGTATTTGCATATAATCTATGCACATCCTCTCATGTACTTTAAATCATCTCTGGATTGCTTATAATACCTAATGCAATGTAAATGCTATGTAAATAGTTGTTATACTATATTGTTTAGGGAATAATGACAATAAAAAAAGTCCATACATGTTAAGTTCAGACACAACCATCATAGACCTAACTGCATTTTCAGTCTATGGTTGGTTGAATATCACAGATACAGAGGGCTGACTACTCAGTTTAACTTGTTAAATTATTAAACAGTGATAGCACCGAATGCTGGTGAGCACGTGGTGAGAATAAAACTCATTCTGCTAGTAAGAGTATCAATTGATGGAACATTGCTCTTCAGTAAGGCAGTCTTAAAAGTCTTAAAACCGTTCATGCTTTAAAATAGGAAATTCAGAAACTCACCCAAATATAGGCCGTTTATTTGAAACTGCCAGTATTCAGTTGGCTCTGACCTACAAAAATGGCAATTTTATAAAGTTCAACCTAAAATATGTGAAAAGTTTAGTGTATGATAAGGGTACATAACAAATCTGTGAGGAAAAGATGGACTGAAATGAAAGGTTAAGAGACAACTGGCTAGCCAGTAAGTAAATGAAAGTGGATCCCTGCCTTGTTTCTTAGACCAAGCTACATCCCAAATGGATCAAGATAAATGTGTAGATTGAAACATTGAACTACTAGGAGAAATTGTTGGTATTTTTATTATATTGCTCTCAACCTAAGATTCCATAAAGGAAGATCAGTACATTTAACTGTAAAGAAACCGCACCATAAATAAAGTAAAAATTAATCAGGAAAAATATTTGTAACAAAGACCTATTTTCCCTAATATTCTGAGTACATGCACTGTTTACTAAGAAAATAGCAAGTAACTATAGAAAAATGGGCAAAGGATGAGATTAAGTCATAGAACAATATAAGTGATTAATAAATATTAAAAAAATGTTCAACGTCACTAATAAATGCTTATTAAAACAAGATGCCATTTTATATCCACCAGTTTGGTAAAAATTGTAAAAATTTATAATGGCATTCCCATATCTTGGTGGTTAGGTGTATAAATTCGTATAGCCTTTTTGAAGGGCAATTTGGCATTACTAGTCAAACTTTTAAACCTGCAATTCTACTCCTAGGTAATTATCCTAAAGAAATATACAAATATATATTTTTAAGCAATCGTTTCTCAGATTAGCAGTATAGATTGAAAACCTTAAAATGTTCATGTGCCTTGGCCCAGCAACTCCACTTCTAGGAATTGTTCTTAAAGGAGTTGTTGGGATATGTGCATGTGTAAGGATATTTGGTGTTTATCTTAGCATTGCTTATAATTAAATGGGAAAAAGTGTTCAAATGATTGATTCAGTTTTGATATGTGTGTGTATAAAATAGAATACTTTACCTAGTCATTACAAATGATGATATAGCTCTTTATTAATGAAAAATGTTCATATAAAAGCAGCATCCTAAAAGTTTCATTGTTTTGTAAAATTGAAATAAAAAAGTAATATTTACATCAAAATATGTCGATAAGAATGAACTCCAAAGTGATGTAAAGTGGTATTTCTGGGTGGTAAGCTTATGGGTAATTTTTATTTTATATTAATATATTTATTTTCTAATTTTTCTTCTAAGATCATGGATTACTTGTGTGGTTTTTTTAAGCCTGATTTATGTATCTATTTAAAATTTTGAATTCAGTTCTCATTTTTCATCATTTAGAAGATAAATCTTATCTTTAAGGGAACAACTTTAAAATTCAAGTCTGTTGTGCTTTTAGCTGTTGAGAGATTCTTGCCATATTAAAAATACTGTTTCCTGATTTTTATAGTGGGAAAGTAAAACTGTCCTGCGCAATGAGCCTTTGGTTTTAGAGGGAGGCTATGAAAACTGGCTCCTTTGCTATCCTCAGTATACAACAAATGCTAAAGTCACTCTACCCCCACGAGGCAAGAATGAAGAGGTGTCTATCTCATGTATGTATGTGAAAATTTTTGTTTAAAATCGCTTGAGTAAAATATACGTTAAGATAGATTATGTTTTCAGGGTAACATTTTTGATGTGTTTTGTGTGCATTTGTCCTATTAGATAGCAGTTTGTTTTCAGGCATAAAAATAAAAGCCTGGATGGAAGTCAATATTTTCTTTAAGACTGTTGGGATTGTCTTTTCATTTAGTTTATATTTAACTATCACATATAACATGCATGAGAAATAGAAGTACTGTTTATGGGGTTTTCTCTTCTTTAAAAAAATTATTTTTCTTTTGGGGATTTTAGTGGATTTTACTTATCCTTCGCTGGAAGAATCAGTTCATTCTAAACCTGCTGCCCAGATGCCACCTCTTCCCATAGAAGTAGATGAAAATATAGAATTGATAAATGATCAAGATGAGAGAATGGGACCACTGAAAATATCAGCTCCAGCTGAACCAATTGCTGCTTCTAAATCTAATGTTTTACCCATAATTCAGCCAGTGCCTATTATAAAGAATGTTCCACAGGTATGTTCTTGATTTTCTTTTAACTTTATTCGCTTTTGTTGAATATTATTGTAAATATATAGTATAGAAATGGAGTTTAATATAAAACCTTTGTCCTCTTAAAAAATACATCAATTAGAAGAATCTATATGTTTTGGTACCTTTTTTATAAAATTTTTTTGTTATAATTCAGTCCTTTTACCACAACTATAATTTAAAGGATTTCAAATCCATCTGGCAGTCCATTTGCCACAAGCAGTACCAATAAAAGATTACATTACCACAGTGATCTATAACAGCCCTTTCTGGATTTTAGTATTGTAATTTGACCCATAGTATTTTCCCAAAGTTTGGCTTATATATGAAAGATGTGTGATATCAATAATTTGGTTTTAAACAATACCTTATTCCATTTCCTTAGAATTTGACACATAAATAACAGGCATGTTTAACAATAATCATTTAAAAGTTATTAAATAATCAGGATGTTACAATAAAAAATTATAGTTTTTTTCCATTAGGTTTTATTTGAAGATTTACTAATAATTCCCTATGTATTCCCCAATAAGATTTTTTAGCATTCGTTTTTAATTTTTTCCCCAGAGATGTTTAAAACAGTATTTCACATTTGAGTGGATGACATTTGATTTGTGGAGCAGCCTCTGAATAGAAAATTTGGTAATTTTTTTGTTATAAAATGAGGTGGTTCATTTCTTCATTTTTTTTTTAAGGTCTTTTAATATTGCAGTTTAAATCTTAAGACTAAATAGAATTCGCTTAACCTTTTCTTAAAATGTAATTTAAGAAATTCTAAAAAAGAGCTTATGTTATTGCATGTCCTTTTAATTTAACACATTTCAACCCTAATCCTTTTCTGTCTCAACATAACTTTCTGAGGTATGTACAATTTATACAACATATTTTGAAGATCTTTGATATGAAAGACAGAATGAAAGTTTACAAATATAAGATATGGATTCTTCTTATATTTAGAAGGAGAGCCGTGTACAAAATCAGCAACAGCATGAGGCAGAATATCATAATTGCTCTACTAGTCACTGGAACACAGAGCAAGGAGAAAAATTCTAGCTGAGAGGATCAGGGAGGTCTTCATGGTGGAGAGGTAGTATTTTATCTTGTCTTTAAGAGTAGGATTTGTGCATGGAAGAAACAAGTAGAAAATTGTATGACTAAAGGCATAAGGCTTACATTGGGACCAGTGAGCAGTTTGGGCGCGTGCAGGCAGGCACTGGTCTCTGTTGGTGAGAGGAGAGTATGATAGTGGATAAGATTGGAGGGATGGACAAGAGTCTTCAAGAGAGACTTGGATCAAATTTGAATTTTATCCTGTAGGCACAGGAAGCCACTGAAGAGTTTTAATCTTAAAAGTACCATGATCATAGCTGTGCTTTTAAGATTAGGGAAAAATGGATAGCTCTACCAAAATGTGAATGGAAACATTTATTTTGGCTCCTATTCCACCTTTTATTGTTAATATCATTCCAATAGTGGTGGTTTTTCCTCTTTCATTCTCAAATACATGTAGAGAAGAAGAAGAGGACATAGACTTTTTTTTAAAAGAGACAGTGTCTCACTTTGTCACCCATAGGATCTATAAAAGTGTAGAGACTGTGCCTGACACATAGTCAGTAAATATGGTGCTGAGGGAACAAATAAAACATTCCCTGCTAACTTCATAAGGGATAAGATACTAATTTGTTTCCTTCAAATTGAAGGAACTACCTAAATTCCTGCTTTAATGAGTTAAAAGTTTAGTACCATAATTTAACAGCATATTAATCCAACACTGTTAGAGTGTAGGCTACAGTGCAATGGCGCAGTCATAATTCACTGTATCCTTGAACTCCTTGGCTCAAATGATCCTCCAGCCTCAGCCTTCCAAGTAACTAGGACGATGGGCATGGGCTACTACATACACATAGCCAAGTTTTAAACATTTTTTGTAGAGACTGAGTCTCACTATGTTGTCCAGGATGGTCCTGAACTCCTGGCCTCAAGTGATGCTTCCCCCTCGGTCTCCCAAAGTACTATTATTGCAGGCATGAGCCACTGCACTTGGCCAGATTTTTTTTTTTTTTTAAGTGAAAAGACAAAAGAAGTGAAGAGGAGGCTGGGCGCGGTGGCGTCCACGCCTGTAATCCTAGCACTTCTGGGAGGCCGAGGCGGCGGTATTGCTCGAGTCAGAGTTCAATAGCCTGAGCAAGCAAAACGTCCTCTATAAATAGAAGATGGCATAATATTATTAAAAAAAACTAGCCGGTGGTGCGATGGTTCGTCCAGCACTTCGGAGGTGAGGCACGAGATGCTTAGCCAGAGTTGAGTTGCTGTGAGCTACTGACGCCCGGCACTCACTCTAGCCCTACGGCAACACACATGAACTCTGTCTCAAAAAAAAAAAGGTGAGTGAAAGAAATGATTTTTTACATTAAACTTTTTACTTTTTTTCTAGTGGAAATAAATTCTTGAAGAGATTATGTAGATTGTTACTGGCAGATGTTCTTATAAGTTCTTACTTTTGTTTTCGTTACCAGTTTGAAAAATGATTCAGTTATCAAAAGTAATTACCCTGTTAGGTGATAACTACTCAACTTGAAGGAAACCAGTTAGTATGTATTCTATGAGTTGTTGGGAAACAACATATTTATTGACTATGTGTTAGGCACAGTCTCTAGCCTTTTAGAGCTTATATTCTAGGAAGGAAGAAAGATTTTAAATCTAATTATTTAATTAGAAGCCCAGTACTGTGAGCATAGGAAAAGAATAAGGTATTATGAGAGCATGTGTCGGGACTTGGCTAGTTCTAGGAATCAGGGAAGTATTTTCTGAGGGAGAGATATTTAAGCCAAGAGCTAATGTTGTGGGCATTATCCAGATGAACAGCTGATGTAAAGGCCTGAGTTGGGAGGGAGCATGGCATCTTTGAAGAATTTTTTTTTTTTGTTAATGGCAAGCAAGTATGGTATTGGAGTAATAAGATTAGAGAAATAAGACCATGCACTCAGATTAGATGTAATCTGAGTACAGAAGATGGCAATTAAAATAGGATTTTTTTTCTTTTCTTTTCTTTCTTTTTTTAGAGATGGGTTCTCACTAAGTTGCTCAGGCTGGTCTCAAACTCCTGGTCCTCAAGTGATCCTCCTGCATTGGGTTCCCACAGTGCTAGGGTTATAGACATGAGCCACTATGCCTGGCCTAAAATAGGGTTTTAAGCAGGGAAGGAACATGATCAGATTTGTTTTAAAATGAATACTCTAACTATAATATGGAGAAATAGATTAGAAAGGAGGTTAAAAAAAAAAGAGAGAGAGAGAGATGAGCAACTAGTTGAAGGTATGCTATTGTGCTGGTAAGAGCGGATGTTGACATGGACTTGGCTGGTGGTAGCGGAGATGGATGGACAGATATTGGAGGAAATTCATCAAATTGCAGAAGGGATGGGAAGAACATATCATGGACCACCCTGGGTTGTGGCTTGTGTAGCTATTTAGAGAGTGGTTACATCCATGAGATAAGTACCATGTTTGTGGAGGGAAATACTGAATTCAGTTTTGGCCATATTGAGTTTGAGGTATATGTGTTGACACTCACTTGGAAATACTGAGTAGGTAGTTGGATACATGGAAGTGGAACGTAAGTCTAGGTATGCCCAGGTCTAGGTTTCTTGTTTTAGAATGAAGACTGTAGTAACTCTGTCGTATACAGAACACATCAGGTTGAATTAAAGTGTTGAATCAAGAGGAAGTGCCATTGGAAGTGCCTTCTCCCATTTAAGTGCTACCTTGTGAGAAATCGTGACATTGAATAAATTACAAATAGCTGTTCTAGCAGATGTTGTCTCCACGAAGTGACAGTTCTTGTATTATGTTTACTTTGGTTTTGTTGCTCTAGATTGATCGTACTAAAAAACCGGCAGTCAAATTGCCTGACGATCAAAGAGTAAAATCTGAAAGTACAGATCATGAGCAACAGTCTCCTCAGAATGGAAAAGTTGTTCCTGATCGTTCCACCAAGCCTCTAGTTCCCTCTTCCACTGTCATGTTAACAGATGAAGAAAAAGCTCGTATTCACGCAGAAACTGTTCTTCTAATGGAGAAAAACAAACAAGAAAAAGAACTTCGGGAAAGGCAGCAAGAGGAACAGAAAGAGAAACTGAGGAAGGAAGAACAAGAACAACAAGCCAGAAAGAAACAAGAAGCTGAAGAAAATGAAATCGCAGAGAAGGCACAAAAAGCAAAGGAAGAAATGGAAAAGAAAGAAGGTGACCAGGCTAAGAAAGAAGATAAAGAAACCTCAGCAAAGAGGGGCAAAGAAATAACAGGAGTAAAAAGACAAAGTAAAAGTGAACATGAAACTTCTGATGCCAAGAAATCTGTGGACGATAGGGGGAAAAGGTGTCCAACTCCAGAAGTGCAAAAAAGGTCAACAGGAGATGTGCCCCATACATCTGGGACAGGGGATTCAAGTGCAGGCAAGGTAAGCAGAAACAAACAGTATAAATTGCCAGTGAAGTGAAATCAAATGTATATAAAAAGATGATACTACCAGTGGCATTCCATAAACAGGGCAGACACTTTGAATAGGTTTCTCGGGTGATAAAGTATACTGTTCCATCCACCTTTGCTCACCTACTCTCCTTTGAGGCAATGACATTTATGAAATGATTGGTTGGCAATAGAATTGCTTTTTGTGTCTATGAGATAAATAGCTACATTCTCCCACATCAACCTTCCAAAGTCCTGGGATTGCGGACTTGAGCCATTGCACCCAGCCTACATTCTTCATTTTTATGTTTGATGTATGATCTTCAAAAAACTATAGTGAAATATAATCTTTCTCTTTTTTTTTTGAGACAGAGTCTCACTTTGTTGCCCAGGCTAGAGTGAATGCTGTGGCATCAGCCTAGCTCACAGCAACCTCATCTCCTGGGCTCAAGTGATCCTACTGCCTCAGCCTCCAAGTAGCTGGGACTACAGGCATGCACCACCATGCCCGTAATTTTTTGTATAATATATTTAGTTGATCAATTAATTTCTTTCTATTTTAAGTAGAGACGGGGTCTTGCTCAGGCTGTATTTGAACTCCTGACCTTGAGCAATCCACCCACCTCGGCCTCCCAGAGGGCTAGGATTACAGGCGTGAACCACCACGCCCAGCCTAATCTTTCTCTTAGTATGGAGGAGTTAGGTGCCAATATTTATATGATAGAGTTCTGTCTGGTTAGAATATGTCCAAAATCAGTGACATCTAGATGGCCCAACATTTATCTTTGCATATACTGATTTTTTTTTGGTCAGATCTATGTCATTTCGTTTCTTGCTTTTATCTATTCAGATAATATTAGCAATATCTCAATTCATGTTGCCTTTTTCTGCCTTTGGCCACACACCCAAAATTGATTCCCATAATTTTGGAGGACATTTCTCCTTGCTATTCTTTTTCAATTTAATAATATCATGCTTTTCTTTTTTTCTCCATTATGTAGTTGACAATGCCCTTTCCTTTTGAACACTAAAGTTTTTATAATAGCGGGAAGAGTTATAGTCCTTTTTACATATATGGAAATGGAAAAACAGTTTTTGGTAGTATGAAAATGACTTTGAAACACTGTCTCTACAGGAATGTCAGTTTGTATATTTCTCAAGCAGCAGTTCCTGCATGTTACCAAAATGAACAATCCATATTAAAGCCACACTTATCCAGGGAACACTTATCTGGTAACTTCTATCAAAAATACAGCTCTGGCCGGGCGTGGTGGCTCACGCCTATAATCCTAGCACTCTGGGAGGCTGAGGCGGGCGATTGCTCAAGGTCAGGAGTTCAAAACCAGCTGAGGAGACCCCGTCTCTACCATAAATAGAAAAGAAATTAATTGCCAACTAATATATATAATAAAAAATCAGCCGGCATGGTGGCTTGTGCCTGTAGTCCCAGCTACTCGGGAGCTGAGGCAGAGGATCGCTTGAGCCCAGGAGTTTGAGGTTGCTGTGACATAGGCTGACGCCACGGCACTCACTCTAGCCTAGGCAAGAAAGCGAGACACTGTTCCAAAAAAAAAAAAAAAAAAAGCTCTGGCCGGGCGCGTGGCTCACGCCTGTAATCCTAGCACTCTGGGAGGCCAAGGCGGGCGGATTGCTCGAGTCAGGATTTGAAACCAGCCTGAGCAAGAGTGAGACCCGTCTCTACTATAAATAGAATAAATTAATTGGCACTAATATATATATATAAAAAAATTAGCCGGGCAGGTGGTGGCGCATGCCTGTAGTCCCAGCTACTTGGGAGGCTGAGCAGGAGGATTGCTTGAGCCAGGAGTTTGAGGTTGCTGTGAGCTAGGCTGATGCCACGGCACTCACTCTAGCCTGCGCAACAAAGTGAGACACTGTCTCAAAAAAAAAATACAGCTTTGATGCAAAAACCTTCTAAACACTCAAAATTGAGGAAATGGAGCCCACATACTAAAACTCTCTAACTTTATTCATAGGAGAATCAGAGCTTGTGAGCTCTTATTTAAGATATAGTTTATATATTATTCATTGAATAGCTACCATGTGCTATTTTACTGTTAATGGTAACCCATAAGGTATTTAATTTACAAGTGAAACTGAAGTTTAATGGTTAAGTATTTGCCTAAGATCATGTAGTGAGACTCCAATGCCACTTCCTATCCATCTTGCTATGGATAGGAAGGAGGTATGTTGGAGGCATGCAGTCTAGCATTCATCATATTTGTAGGGTCATTTAGTATAGGTACCAATATCCCTGCACATCTAAGTAAAATTAAGATTGCATTCCCTGTATACTCCTTTAAAAAGTTTAGAAATGTGTAATTTATTCTAGAATACATTTTATTAAAATTATCACTAAGTTTTTACTAAAGTCATTTTTAATAAGATATAAATTAAAATGATTTTTATAAGAATGTATGATATTAGAAGATATAAAATAGATTTTGCATTTTGAATATTGGTCTATATACAATTCTGTAATCTCTTCATCATTGTAATACTTTAAATTTTTTTGAATCAAAACCCTTTCAACATAATGAAAATCATACAGTATTTAAATAAAAGAATAGTGTTAAAATGGGCTATGGGTCATGGTGAATATACACTGATGATTAGCATTTTACACTTGGCCCCATATTGAGAACTGGTGCTTCACAATCTACTTTGTTGTTTGTTTGTTTGTGTTTGAGACAGAGTCTCACTCTGTTGCCAAGGCTAGAGTGCTGTGGTGCCAGTCTAGCTCACAGCAACCTTAAACTCCTGGGCTGAAGCAATCACTCCTGCCTTAGGTTCCTGAGTAGATGGGACTACAGGCGCTCACCACCATGCCCGGCTAATTTTTTGTGTTTCTAGTAGAGACAGTGTCTCACTCTTGCTCAGGTTGGTCTCAAACTCCTGACCTAAGGGGATCCTCCTACCTCTGGGAAGAGTGCTAGGATTACAGGTGTGAGCCACTGCGCAGAGCCTGATTTTTATCTTTTTTTTTTTTTTTCATTGATAAATCAAAGTTTTTAGTTCTTTATCTTTAGTGTTAGGAAATTTGAGATGGACTCAGAGGTATTTTGAATTTGACAATAAAATAGAATAAACTTTTCAGAGGTCTCATTTTTTTCCCTTTTACATTTTTAGTCTCATGAATTTGGTTGTATTTAGCTAGCGACAGATAGGTTTATGTTGGGGAAAAGTTAAAGTTTTTTTTCACTTCTGTAATTTTAACAATTTTACAGCCTAAGATTAAGGATCAACCAGAAAGTAAAATTCTAAAGATGGGAACTTTTAGAGATAATACAGAGGATACCAAAAGAAATAAATTAAGTACTTCATTGGAGGGCAAAAACTTAGAAAAAACATTATAACCATGTGGTTATCTTTATACCACATCATGATGCTCCATTCTGAGATCAACTGTCTAATGGGATCTTTGCCATCTTTGGTAGCTGGTTTTTGTTTATTTTTATATGATTAATCCATTTGTATATACCAAAGGGAATAGAGTTTGTCTTCCTAAAGTTTGACAGTATATTCTGTTCATTTTATGAGATTAAAAAATGCTTAGGCCTTACCATATGATCTAGCAGTTCTGCCTACCATATGATCCATTGGTTGGCAGGGGCTGGGGAAAGGGGGAAATGGGACTTATTGTTTAATGCAGGCGTCCTCAAACTACTGCCCGCAGGACACATGTGGGTGTTTTTGCCCGTTTGTTTTTTTACTTCAAAATAAGATATGTGCAGTGTGCATGGGAATTTGTTCATAGTTTTTTTTTAAACTATAGTCTGGCCCTCCAGCGGTGTGAGAGACAGTGAACTAGCCCCCTGTTTAAAAAGTTTGAGGACCCCTGTTTTAATGGGTACAGAGTTTCAGTTCTGCAAGATGAAAGGAGTTCTGGGGATTGATTGCACAACAATGTCAGTATACTTAATGCTACTAACCAGCACACCTAAAAATGGTTAAGATAGTAAATTTTATGTGTATTTCATCATAATTTTAAAAATATACTTTTTATAACACATCTTTGCCTTTTTTTATTTAAGAGCTTAATTGAGGTATAATTTGTATACCATAAAATTCACACTTTTTTTGTGTATAGTGATTTTTAGTAATTTACAGAGTTGTGAAATCATTAACACAAATCCAATTTTAGAACATTTCCATCACACCCTGTGCCCAATTTAGTTACTTCCTATTCCCACCCTGAAGCCCTGGGGCAATATTGAATCTACTCTCTGTCTTCCTAGATCTGCCTTCTCTGGGATATATATATAGTCATCCCTTAGTCTTTTGGGGGGTTGGTTCTGGAACCTCTCACAGATACCAAAATCTGAGGATGCTCATGTTCCTTATATAAAATAGTGTAGTATTTGCATATAACCTACACATGCTTCTGTATACTTTAAATCATCTCTAGATTATTTGTAATACCTAATAGAATGTAAATGCTATATGACAAGAAAAAAAGTCTATACATGTTAAGTACAGATGCACTTTTTTTCCCCAAATATTTTTGTTTGGTTGAATCCATGGATGCAGAACCCACAGAAATGGAGGGGTGACTGTACAGTCTTTTGCATCTGTTTTCTTTCACTTAACATAAGTTTTTGGGCGCGGTGGCTCAGGCCTGTAATCCTAGCACTCTGGGAGGCCGAGGCAGGCGGATCGCTCAAGGTCAGAAGTTCGAAACCAGCCTGAGCGAGACCCCATCTCTACTAAAAATAGAAAGAAATTAATTGACCAACTAAAAATATATATACAAGAAATTAGCTGAGCATGGTGGCACATGCCTGTAGTCCCAGCTACTTGGGAGGCTGAGGCGGGAAGATTGCTTGAGCCCAGGAGTTTGAGGTTGCCGTGAGCTAGGCTGATGCCATGGCACTCACTCTAGCCTGGGCAAGAAAGTGAGACTCTGTTGTCTCAAAAAACAAAAATAAACAAACCATAAGTTTTTGAGATTTATCTATGTTGTAGCATATA